CTAAACAAGGAAAACATGCTAGTTTGTTAGAGGTGATTTGTGTCTAATGGAGTACTTGGATGCTGACCTACATACCATTAGGCTTTAGTTTTTTTGTTTTCTATTCTATATTACTATTAAATATAGCTATTTATTATACATAATATATATACTTTTCGTATTGGCGTATCCTGTATTTTAAAAATAAAGTACACCGTATCGCCGTATCCGTCATCCCGTATGGGTGCAACGTACGTAGGTTATCGACGTGTCTCGTGCTCCGGATTCGCGAAGGCGCACACAAATCGGTGCAGTGGATTTTGAGAGTCCAAAATCACCACCATGGCTGCTGTTTTTTGCGGGGCGCGCGTGGGTTGCCCCAGACTCCGAGTTCGGCAAGCGGCGCGGCTGTGGGTTTTGGACTGCTCTCTGCACAATGGTTCGCATCCCGGCCGCCCGCCCGCGGTAATAAAGTAGGTAAACTCGGTCGCCGCTCGGCGGACTGCCACTTACTCTTGGTTTTATTTTATCATCATCCAGCGGCATCCATTTGCTTTGCACGATGTTTCGGCGGCCCTGTTAGTTTCGCTAAAAAGACATCCTGAAAAAGGATTGTTCGCTGATTTGTTGTGAGAGAAAAATACTATATCATGATTGATAAGTTATACTAGACCAAGTAGGGACGAAGCCAGAAAAAAATTTATGAGGGTCTGAACAAAAGAATAGAGGTTTTTTTATCTTCTCTTAACCTTAGCTCCTCCTACCTAATATATATATATGCATAAAATTTTAAAGGAGGGCTTAGAGGATGTAGCTGGAAATGATCAACCATGTACATCGCTAGAATAGTCCAGAATCATATGTTTAGATGTTTTTTTTTAAGTTGAGCTGTTGTTTTCTATTTATGGTGTAAATTAGACTAGTATCTTGAGGGATGACAAGCTTTGGTCATGTTCGTTTCGCTGAAAAAATAAGCTGAAACATTGTTCCAGCTGATTTACTGTGAGAAAAAAATATTATTCCGACTGAAAAAAACAAACTGAAAAACATGGATCATAAGAAAAGCAAACAGGACCAATCCAGTCAAGAACCGAAAGCCTTGTAAAACCCATGTGTGCTGCTTGACGCTTCCTTTTCATTATGCTTCCACACTTATAAATACATTAGATATGTGTTACTGATTTTTGTTTACACCTATGGCGACGCATGTTGTTATGCTGGTGACGGATGGTTACGTTACGATACAATATATTTAGTGATAACACCTTGGTAGAGTGGAAAATAAAAAACTAAGTTATATAAATAATAAGCATCTTTTTATTATTTGAGAACTTTTGGGCGGAGAGTGGGGGACGATTGGTGGATGTCCTAAAAAGTTATTTCATTTATGGTACACCTCTAGAACTGCAGGCATGGCAAGCTTCACATTCTCTTTGCCCAAGGTCTGCTTGTAGTTCTTCTCTGGAAATTCACGCATAGAGTTAGAGTTCCTTCTAAGCGACCCCTCCAGTTTTTAAGAATAGTTTTTAAAAGCTAGGTGGAATCCAAACAGACTAGTTTTTGCCCAATTTATTATGTCAGTTTTGTAAGATTCTTAAAAACCAAGAAGCTGTTAATACTTAGTTTTTGTCAGTTTCTTGTGAGCCTCTGAACAATAAATAAAGCCAGATTCTTAAAAACTGAGGAATCCAAACGCTCCCATCAGTTTTTGCTCAGAATCCATATTTTAGAAAACAGAGACAAAAACTGAATTTTAAGAACGTGAAACTCATTCAAACAAGCCCCTGGTGGCGTTGGCCTTCCACGTAGAGAAGATAACAGAGATGGATTGGCGTTGGCTTGTTGGAGTATTGTCGAAGTGCACCGTTGGGTGATGAACAGGTGCGAGGCGACGAAGGAGCCAGGGGAGCAATATAGGGGTGGGTGGACCGGTGGGCCCACTTGTTGACGCGTGTCGCTGCACGCCAGCACAGGTGCGAGGCGACGGAGGAGCCGGGAGCTATACGGGCATCGGGTGGACCGGCAGGGGCGATGGGGTTGCTGGACAAGCTGCATCAGGATCAGGTGTCGTGATGTTATCGATCTGTATACATATGTCTGCAAGTGAAGAGTCGACAACAATACAACATCATATAGAACCAGAACAATAATGTACGCCCGTCTGTGACACATATGGTCTACTTTATTTTGTCACAAAACCAACCATATTTAGGCCCCCTAGTTAAAGATTGGTGGTGTTAGTCTTTTCTCCCAAGTCCCAATGATGCGCAAGAACTATTAACACCGTAATAGCCTGGAAACATAAAAGAAGCTGGAAAAAGGAATCGTTATAATTTTTTTTAGCAAAATACCATGCCAGGCCCGTGCGTGATGTTTTTGGAATTAATAATGGACATGTTCGCTTGTCTGAATTTTGGAGGAATCTGGATGGTTTGGAGGAATGCTGGAGGAATTTGTGAGAGAGAAACACTGTTCCGGATGAAAAAATAAACGGATCAAGTCGGGTTTAAGGGCACGCGAACGGGGCCAATAAATGACAACGTGGCTAGCGCTTGAGCTTATAAAACAAAATCAAAATACCATGCCAGGCCCGTGCGTGATAATTTTGGAATTAAATAAATTGCAACGTGGCTAGCACTTGTGCAAATAGAAGTCGGCCACGGATCTTAAAAAAAAAGACTGCTTGTTGTAGCTACTAACAGTGCACCAGTAAGTCCTCAAAATTTACTTTTGAGCTCAATTTAATTCTAGGATTATCAAACTGATCATTTCAATTCTCAAACCTTGCATTTTTGACTCAATGTACTGTGTAATCGCAAAAAAGGTGTATTTTAGTCTAGTCCTTGAATTTAAATGACATTGAGCCCAAAATACAAAGTCAGAGGACTGAAATGATCACTTTGACAGTTCTAGGATAAAATTAAACCCAAAAGTAAATCTTGATAACCGAATCGGTCGTTATAAAAGTTCAAGAGTGAAACTGAGCCTCAAACGATAGCTGGGGGACCAGAATAGATATTTTGCCAATCTTGTACCTGAAGCTACACTCATGGGTGAAATTTTATACCTACACCCACATCCGTCTGGTTCAATACCCGTGCATACTTACACTTACGAATAGGATTGTCATTCCTACCTTTATAGAAGACTCACATTAATTCCCAGGGGTACCCTAGAAAGAAAAAGAAATATGAATACTATAAATTCTCATATGAAACAAAAAGATCTTTCCATCATTCAGCAGATTGTAATCATTGTGGATAATAATATTTGTTGGATCTAATATGTTGTCTAGAAATTACACATGTCTACCATTAAGAAAAATAATAGAAGTAACCCTCTAAACTTTTCATCTAGACTACCCACATATACCGTTATGGAACACAATCCAAAATACCCCCTCCTAAATTTATGTCTGAATTATCCACCCATCGGATGGCGTTATTATAAATAATCTAAGTAGTGCTCTAAATAATAAATGGCCTTGTTCGGCTGGTCGTTCAGCCGACCGGTTTCGGCTGATTCAATAGTGTTCTAGGAGAGAGAATAAGCTAAAATAGACTGACTTAGCTGAAAAATAGTTCAAGCGAACATGCCCATAGCAGTTAAAGGGAACTACTACCAGTACTATGTCGTACTAAATAGCAGGCTATAGTGGTGGTATAAATAATAGATTATAGCAGTTGAAGCCAACTACTACTAGTACTGTGTCGTACTAAATAGCAGGCTATAGTGGTGGTATATGGTTTTAGCAGAGCTTTCTAATAAATGCTACAACTCACTATTTAAAACACTAAATCTAATTAACTCCTTAAATTTGCATCTAAATTACCTAATTATGTCATTATTAAAATAAACTAAAAATCCTTCAAAACTACATCAGAATCACCAACATTCCGTATTATAAAAAATTTAAATAACCATAAATTATGTCAATATTTTTTATTACTCACTTCTATTATTACTATATTATTATACAAAGGCTTGCCTAAGTATTGTGTCATCATATAGATAAAGTATGTATGTGTGCATGAGTAATGAATATATATTGTATGTTGAAAATGTTCCCAATGACTTAAATACTAATTATACAAAAATATAAATTATATTACTGTAAATGGAGGAGATTGTGTAGACCAAAGGTGGCTCTAACAACTTTGATCTTTGAGATTTCTTCGAAGTAAACAATACATATTAAGTTAAACTATTAATACATCTTGAGGGTAGCATCGTTGGCTCTTTCTATATCTCATTTTAAGCTCTACCGCCAATCTTTAGCGCCTAGGTGCAGATTTAAATGAACAGTAGTAATCATGGTAATTAATTAAGAATATATTGTATGACCTAAAATCCTTATCTTTAGTAAAACACAAAATAATAGTTTTGGATAAAAGTCATAATAAGCACATACAAGATTTCCAACTTAGCTTGAGAGTAAAGAAAAAATGTAGCAACTAAGAGTAACTCCAACGGCTTTATAAAAGTAGGCTACAATTTGTATAGAAAAAAATAGGCTACAACATAAGTGTTATTTGGCTTTGTAAAATAGAAAGCTAACCATCCCTTAATTTTTGGTGGCCATATATAGCCAGCCATAGGATTCTAACTTTATAAAATAGCAAGGTTGTTGTAGACAACTTCCTTTTTAAGGAGTTTTCTAATTTATAAAATGGCTAAACGAATTTGGCTACTAATTTTAGCCAAGCTGTAGGAACAATTATATGTAGTACATGTATGTGTCGATAAAGGCGAGTGTGTATCTGCCTTTAAAAGATGCAATGTATATACATGTTTTTTCGTACCTAGGGAAGATTTAGATGAACAGAGAATACAAAACGAAACAAAGTGGGAATCCATGGAGCCAGAATGACAGCTCAAGACAGCAATTCAAGGATCTTTTCATTGCCAAAGTGTACAAATTCCTCAAGCAGACCAAAGAGCTGCTTGTCCAGAGCAACATCGTCTAATAAGCAACACACTGCCACCATCTAGGATCTGAACCAGCTCTGCATGTGTCACGGTCAACCAGCAACATATGAACCAAGAAACTGTACCAGTTGGGTCTCAAACAACCTGAAAAGGAATTACAGGACGAAGGTTAACACAAACACGACCTGATAACCACAACAGGAGTTGCAGGATGGAAGCACAGCCTAAATTTTGAACCTGAATGCAAGAAATGGAATTCTTAGGATAGATATCATTGATATTTCAGCGATGTCATTTGTTAGAACAGACGAGAGATGCAGCTGATATAACACTTCCTAAAAACACAAGGATGGATTGCAAGAAAACAATATGCCATATATATATTTACTAATGCTGGGAAAGATAATTTCTCTACTGTCTGTTATCTAAACCATTAGATAGTTCAACAGTACACATTGGTGCATCAAAATAGGTGCAATCTTCACGAATTGCTGGCAGCTGAATATTACCTTGGATTAGCATGTGGTGTTCTATATCTACATCTTGATGTTGAAGTAGTCGGAATCAAAATGATGCAGCCTTACATATCCATCTTCACCACCACTCGAAAAGCTAATAAGATTAAAGAAAGAACATGGACAGAATTAGAAAAAAAAAACATTTTTCTTACTAAAAAAAGCAACTTCAGAACATAAGAGAAGTATCTACAATGCATGTTGATAGGGTACAATGGCAGCTCTCATGAATAATATCTTTTTTCAACAGCGGCAATCAGAATAGCATATATAACCAGTGTGGCTGGTTGAAACCATTGAGCTATCAGATCCCAAAGATGCATACACTAATAAAAAAGATTATTTTTAAAAAAAGGCCAGATTAATGGTAAAGCTATTGTGGGCAGAATGTAGCTCTCATACTCAAAATGTTCATCGAACTGAGGTCAGCATAGCGTATATTGCCAACGTAATTGGCTACAATCACTGAGCTACTACATGTAAACGTAGCATGGCTGAAGAGAGATTCAGCCATATAAAAGGTAAAAATAAATAGCTTCAGAAATCTATGAAGACCAGATATGTCGTAGACATATGAAAAAGATAAAATGATGTTTACAGACAGAAGAGTGTCACTGTACAGGTCTAAAATATTTCAGATTAATTAAGTTAGAGAAAAGTGGGATAAAATGACAAATCAGGACTGGTCGTTACATTGCCCCACAATGAGCTAGAAAAAGAGATTTTTCAGAGTGAATTGCAAAAGGTAAATCAATATGAAAACCTACTGAAAATTACACATAGCAAATAAAATCCTGCTCTCAGAAAGCTTATGACATCCTTGTGTGGCTCAGAATAGCGTATATTACCATGATTTACTATGGTAGAATCATTGAGCATATACAATAAAAAACAAGAAATATGGGCATAACCTTATACAATGGACTGTGGACGAATGTTGACAGTAACAACAATGACTAGAAAAGATAAGCACTGTCAGAACAAAAAATATTACCTCTGCCCATCAGGATTAAATGCTAAAGCATTAATTGGCCCAAAATGTCCTTTAACACCACCAATTTCCTCTTGCAAAATCTAAAAGAAAGCAAGTTTTAATCAGAACAGTTCAAATATTGTAAGCATAGAAAGTTTAGCAAGGAAGCAACACAAAAGGAGTAATACCTCGATACTTTATTAACTGGAAAAGAACTTACCTTGTGATAGAATTTAGCCTCAAATTTACCAGCACGGCGGTCTGTCATAGTCACATTCATTGCATCCTGACCACCTCCTAGAACTACCTAAACACAGAAACGAAAATCTTAGGAAAATGGAACACAGATGATGGTTGTTATGGCAAGTGGAGCCGGCCCAGGGCCCACGCGGTACTGTAGCACGCGAACCTATTACATTGGATTGGTTGGTTAGAAAAGAGATATGTTAGATTGATTCGATTAAGATATTTCTTTAGGGGTAAGTCAGTCATCTCTATAAAAAGAGAACCCTGTATCAGTTATAGGCAAGCAAGAAGCAACAATTAAGTTGTTGGCTTCCCCCGTCCCTGCCCTCTCTCCCTCGCGTGAACAGTACCGCGGGGGTACTGTAGCTCCGTCGCCGCCTCTCCCTTTCAATCCTAGCAGCCACATAACAATCTGGTATCAGAGATTTCTGGTTCGATCATGTGGTTCGATCATGTCCATCCGCTGCCACCAGCGTCTTCGTCGGGTATTGCCGCATACACATACATCCGGGCATGCAAGCATTGGGCGCTGCCATTGGCGTCCTGGGGGCGATCGCACCCCTCGCCCCCGGCGCCGTCGTCTCCCGCCGCCCTCGTCCTCACCCCGGAGCAGATGACGGCCGCAATCCTGGAATTAGGGCAGGCCGTGGCGGGCATCAGGGCCTTCTCGCCGCGGATCGCTGACGACCTCGTTTCGGTAGTGCCACCGCCGTCCCTGTGGTGTTCCCTCACCACAGATCAAGTTCCGCCGTCATTGTCACCGCTTTTCGGCTTGATCGCGGTTCGTCGAAACCCATCTACACGGCGCTTAGTACCAATTGTATTTACCGCCGCGCTCCGGCCACCGGTCGTCTTTGGCGCTGGCGGCGCTCGGCTCGGCGCCTCTCTACGGTGGGGTGGACGGCCCCCTGTTCCTGGCGGCGACCGATGCGACGCTCACTTCGCTTGTCGCCCTCATTTGGACAAGACGGGCGCGGCGCGCCTCGGCGCCGCAGACAGCCCCGTTGGAGTTCGCCACATCACCAATGATGGCCCCACCGCCATAACTCGGCGATCTCATCACCGGCTTCGCCAACAACCCCGCCAACACTAGTGTCACCAATGCAAAGCGATCATCCATGCACCGACATTGGCGGACATGGTGCCTTTGTCATCGCGCCTACGAGCCACAAAGACCGATCCTCGAAAGGTGGCCGTGGCTGTTTGCATGCGCTTATTCTCCGCGGCCGGCCAAGAAGAAGCCTTCAAAGCTCCATCGATGGCCGCTTGAGTACGCCTCAAAGACAACCCCGCTCAATTTGCACCCATAGCGGGGTGGCTGCTCGTGGAGGGCACCATCGACTCCACATGCAGGAGCTCCATGGATTCGATTCCACACAGATCGATGGAGCAAGCCAAGTTTGGCACCTCGAGGAGGAAGCAGTGCGCCATGGCGATCTTCTCTGGACCGCAAGGTCTTCCGCTCCAGCAATTGCCACAGCTCGAGGACGAGCTGTCTTCGAGGGGTGGAGTAGTGTTATGGCAAGTGGAGCCGGCCCAGGGGCCCACACGGTACTGTAGCGCGTGAACATATTAGATTAGATTGGTTTGGTTTGTTAGGAAAGAGATATGTTAGATTGATTCGGTTAGGATATTTCCTTAGGAGTCAAGTCAGTTATCTCTATAAAAAGAGAACTCTGTATCAGTTATAGGCTGGCTTCCCCTGGGAGCCAGCCGTCCCCGCCCTCTCTCCCTCGCGTGAACAGTACCCACGGGTACTGTAGCTCCGTCGCCGCCTCTCCCTCTCAATCCTAGTAGCCACATAACAATGGTACCACTGAGCTCAGAATCACATGTAGACCATAACCACAATGCATTCATCTTACGGCTTAAAAAATCAAACGTGATAAGTAGTGTTCTAGTGTAAATACAACAAGAAGCGCAACAGCTAACAAAATGCATAAGCCATAGGTCAAGTCAATAGCTTAAATGTGATAAAATACTTTTCTCGTACACAGCAAAATATGCAATTGCTGACAACACTGTTACATATATACAAAATCATGACCTATGATTATTACATAAAAGTGCACTAAATCGGACAAAGAGCCACTTTGCAATACCAGGTATATAACGACCCACTATACGAATTATGAAACCCAACTGTCAAACAAATTAGCTCGGCAGTGCACACAACCTGGGCATTTAGACAGACCCCATGCTACTTCACGAATCACAGATTTGACACAAAGCTCATGACAATGTGTCAACATTACACAGGCTGACAGCATTTTATGCTGTTCAGCTTTTGCCATGTGGCAAGGAAAAGTGGAATAGAAGACATGTATAAATAAGTTTGTGAGGAGGAACATACTGTATCATGTGTAGGAGAGATGTCAACAGCATTAACAGGTCTCTCTGTGACGTACGTCTTGATCAGGGTTAGCGTTCTTGTATCCCATAGCTAGGCATGGAAAATTGAATGTCAGGGAAACAATAAATATCTACATGACAGTAACCTTGAACAAATTCTAACCTTAGCAGATTTATCCAAGGAGCCAGTAATGAAATGTGACCAATCAGAGGATTTTGACAATGATGAAATGGTCTTCTGATGTCCAGATTCTTTATCAGACTCTTTCAGCAGTTGTCCAGTCTACGTACAACTCAAAGAGCAGCCCACGAGTGACGTGGAAAAACAGTCTCCATATTATGGAGAAACAATTAGCATTTTTTACAGTGTAAAAATGGCAGAGAATGAGCAGCATGGATATATATAAAAGCATAGCAGGTTTGATTTTGAATCCCACACCAACTTTCAGTTTCCTCATTCCCCCCTTGAGTAAATGGTGCATTGCATAAATTATCATGGCCTCGTTGGATAGACTATAGTGACACTGGAAGCAGTAATCAGTAAGGATGTGTCCGGTTCTGCAGATACTAGTACTACTATCATATTAGTTGGTTGTTGTCTCAGTTCACTAAGCTGATAAAAGTAAGGTGAAATTTGGCATTATAAACTTCCAAGAATAGAACTAAACATATTAACTAACCCTGATCGTGACTAAACAGGAAGAAAAAAACACATTGCATATTACATAGTATTATATAGTAAAGGAGAATTTGATCACCACCGGATGCCCATGCCAACAAGGGGGCATTCTTAGGGATAGATACCCAAAATGTGCCGGCATATAACAGCATGCTATCCTAACCTCTGAGTCCCAGATGCGAATGGTGGCGTCCTCCCCGGCAGTGATGATGGTCCTGTTCAGAGGCCCCCAAACGGCCCTGTTTATCCTCCCCTTGATGCCAGTGATGACGAGTGCAGACTCGTCCGTCTCTGCATCCACCAACACATGACTTTGTTTAAAAAATCCATTCATACACAGGATCTCAAGGGTGCTGGCTTGTGCCATTCATCAAACAAAACAACAGAGGAAGCATAAATGAAGCGTTGAGAAGGCAAAGAACTAACGGTCGTCAATGTCCTCGGCGATGTGCTTGACCTGGACGGTGGGGACGTGGTCCATGAAGTTGTCGGTGGTGATGACGGCGAGCGCGTCCCCGATGGCGAACTCGACGGACCTGGCAGGCGCGTCGAAGCGGAAGCTGAAGAGCTCCTTCCCCGTGCTGACCTCCCAGAGCTTGGCGGTCTGGTCGGCGGATGCGGTGATGAGGCGCGCCGAGTCGCGGGAGACGTCGCAGGTCCAGACGGCGCCGTTGTGGCCCCGGTAGGTGCCGAGGCGGTCACCGTTGTCGGCGTACCAGACCGTGGGGGTGTGATCCTTGGCGCAAGAGAAGAGGAGGTCCCCGTCGCGGTTGTAGCGCAGGAACGTCAGCGGGCGCTCGTGGCCCTTCATCAGGATCGGCCTCATCGTGGCGCGCTGCTGCTGGTGGTGCTCACCGCCGCGGGAAAGGGGGGAGGAGAAGGGGCGGATCTGGTGGTGGTGGTGGTGCTCACCGCTGCTGGTAATCGGCGAAGGCCTCGGCACCTGGTGAGTGGCGTAGGCGCGTAGCTGCGTACGGCGATGGCGGCGGTAGCCCGGAGAGAGAGCACGGCGGCTGGCACAGGGAGGAGAGGCAGAGACAGCTGGGCCTTTAAAGGGCCTTCTCCTTCCTAAGCTAATAGAACTTAAGATCACTACGAGTAGATCTAGAGGATAAAACTGTATTTAGAATATAGTAAACCCTAGAACCTGAACTAAAACCATGAGAGATAGAAAGAGGATGAGAGTGAGGAGGTGTTATCGACTATCGGCAGGCTTGGCGGAGGAGCTGACCATGGTGTCGATGTAGGGTAGCAGTAGAGTCCGACGGCGATGTCGAAGGCGCAGTGGAGGCACAATCGCAGAGGCAACAATGAAGATGCGACGGTGGCGGCTTTCCGTCGCTGGCAGCACCCTCTCTCTAGATCGACTTAGGGTTAGGATGTAAGTGGGGTTTGTAGCGGCTCAGGTGAACCTCGTACCTTATGTCCCGGCTCCCACCTCTTTTTTATGGTGATGTGCGACAGGGCCCACTAACCATAGATAAGGTTGGGAGCCCCCGATTAGGACGCGGATCAAAGGCCCAATTGACCGTTGGACCAAGTTGGTAGAGTTCAACATAACATTCTTTCTCTTGATCTCACCTTATGACTTAAACTTAACTTACTTTATCTTTTTCCCATTACATCACAGATCAGTACATAGAGCGTGCTTCATCGTCACAGTCAGTTGCTATTAGATTAACAACTACAATGCACCTCTCTGTTTTGAAATAGATTCTCATCTAGGCCCTTATTGTCCAGGAATCATAGGCTTTTTTTTAAACCCATGCCGGCTAAGTGTTCTCTGAACACATTGGGTGGTAAGCCTTTTGTGAGCAGATCCGCAAGCATCTTTTCTATACTTATGTGCTCAAGACTAATTATATGACCCCGAACTTTGTCTTTCACAACATAATACTTTATGTCAATATGTTTGGCAGCACCACTTGACTTATTGTTGTGAGCATAACATACTGTTGGATTATTATTGTGGTATAACTTGAGTGGCTTATGTATGTCGTCTACCACTTTCAACCCGGATATAAACTTCTTCAGCCAATTTCACCTGCCCTGTGGCCTCATAACACGCTATAAACTCGGCATACATCGTAGACGATGTAGTGACGGTTTGCTTGGAGCTTTTCCACGATATAGCTCCTCCTGCGAGAGTAAATATGTATCATAACGTGGATTTTCTATCATCTTTCGCATAATTTGAATCTGAATACCCCTCTATGTGTAGGGAATAAGATCTTCTGTATGTTAGCATAAGATCTTTTGTGCCTTGCAAGTAACGCAAAACTTTCTTTACTAATCTCCAGTGTTCTATTCCTGGATTACTCAGATATCTGCAAAGTGACCCGATAACAAATGCTAAGTCAGAGCATGTACACACTTGAGCATACTGTAAACTTTCGATAGCTAAAGCATATGGAACCGCTTTCATTTGATCAATCTCATATTGGTTCATGGGACATTGAAATTCTCCAAATCTATCGCCCTTGACTATAGGAGCAGGTGAAGGCTTATAATTTTGCATACTGTATTTCTTTAAAACCTTTTCTAAGTATGTCTTTTGTTGTGATAGTCCTAAAACCTCCTTTTCTCTATCTCGGTGAATCTCTATTTCTAGAACGAACGAAGCTTCACCGAGATCCTTCATATCAAACTTTGAGGACAAGAACTTCTTCGTTTCTAGTAGTAGATTAACATCACTACTAGCAAGTAATATGTCATCCACATACAAGATTAGAAAAATGTATTTCCCATTCTTGAACTTTGCATAAACGTAATTGTCCTCAATATTTTTTTGAAACCCAAACTTTCTTATTGTGCTATCAAACTTTAAATACCACTGTCTTGATGCTTGTTTTAATCCGTAAATAGATTTCTTCAGGCGACATCCCATACGTTCTTTTCATTCCACAACAAAACCTTTTGGTTGTGCCATATAAACATTTTCCTCCAAATCCCCATTTAGGAACGCCATCTTTACATCCATCTAATGTAATTCTAAATCGTAATGTGATACAAGCGTCATTATAATTTTAAAAGAATCCTTACATGAGACTAGAGAAAATGTCTCATTATAATCTATGCCTTCTCTTTGCGTGAAGCCTTTCGCCATAAGTCACGCTTTAAATCTTTCTACACTCCCTTTGGAGTCATATTTAGTTTTGTAAATCCATTTACAGTCTACTGTCTTGGCTCCTTTAGGAATTGTTTCTAAGTCCTAAACTCCATTGGTATTCATTGATCTTATTTCATCCTGCATGGCTTCAAGCCACTTTGATGAGTGAGCGCTTCTCAAGCCTTCAAATGAGGTGGGATCACCCCCTATTTGAAATTCTTCACATTCATAGACTTCGTAGTCATCAGGAATGACTGGTTTCCTGACTCTTTAAGACCTTATAGGGGCCTCGTTAGTTGACGCGTGTTCTATGTGAGGCTGTTGTTGCTCTTCTTCATGTGTGACAACAGGTTCTATAGGATCCTGGATGACAGGTTCATCATTTTCATTCATTGTTGACATAGGAGAACTAACAACAGGTGATATTACTACAGTGTCTTGCACTATTGGTATAGCAACAACAGGTAGCGTAAAGAATGGCTCCTGAACCATCGGAGTAGGCACATGTATCCGCTTCTCCTCTAGGTTAATTTCTCACACTACTATGCTCTCCCTGACCATATCATCCTCCAAGAACACAGCGTATCTTGTTTCTACAAACTTCGTATGTTTGTCAGGACAATAGAAGCGATAACCTTTTGACTTTTCTGGATAGCCAATGAAATGGCAACTGACTATCTTAGAGTCTAGCTTTCCTATATTTGGGTTAAAGACTTTAGCCTCAGCTGGACAACCCTACACACGTAAATAGTTAAGTGAGGGCTTCTTTCCTGTCCACATCTCATATGGTGTTTTGGGCACTGACTTACTTGGCACTCGATTAAGAATATGAATGGTGGTTTTTAACGCCTCCATCCATAAACTTATCGGTAGAGTAGAGTAACTTATCATACTTCTTATCATATCTATTAAGGTACGGTTGCGTCTTTCAGCTACTCCATTCTGCTGAGGCTCGCCCGATGTAGAGTACTAGGCAACTATGCCATTTTCCTGTAAGAACCTTGCAAAAGGTCCAGGAACTTGATCATATGGGGTGTGTCGACCGTAGTACTCTCCTCCACGGTCGGATCTTACTACTTTAATCTTTAAGTTGTGCTGATTTTCTACTTCAGCATTAAATATCTTAAATTTATCCAATATTTCTGATATTTCTTTAATTAGATAAATATAGCCAAAGTGAGAATAATCATCTGTGAATATTATAAATGAATCATAACCATCCACACTCTTCATAGGAAAAGTACCACATATGTCTATGTGAACTATTTCTAAAATTCCTGCGCTTTGTTTGGCATCTTTCTTTATTTTCTTAACATACTTTCCTTTTATGCAATTAATGCATTGTTTTAAATCTAAAAATTCTAAAGGCAGAAAAATTAATTTCTTAATCAATCGCTCTATTCTCCCCCTCGAAATATGACCTAAACGACAGTGCCATAATTTTGATGATACATCATGAATTCTCTTCTGCTCATTTGTTACATTCATAGATGAGGAAGCATTCTCATTCTCGGTGCTCACAGCATTCATATTCTCAGAAAGTGATAACAAATAAAGTTCGTCTTGTCGAAAAGCAAGTTCAACACACTTATTATTAAACACAATCTGACATTTGCCATTACCAAAATGGCAATCATATCCATCATCGTCTAGTCGTGACACACTTATCAAGTTTCTACGCAAAGAGGGTATATAAAGAATATCCGAAAGCTGAAGTATAAAACCATCATCTAATTATAGAGAGAGATCTCAAATGGCTTCAACTTTAGCTTCAACTCCATTTGCAATTTTAATTCTTCTTTCTCCTCTTTGCAGGGTCGTCCTCGTATGGAATCCCTCTCTTCAAAAGGCTCTTTAGGAAATCTGGATAGTCCCTCTGATAATGTCCATGCTTCTTGCACCATTTGCATTGATCCTTTTCAACTTAGGCATTGTTGTTCTTCTGATGGTGGTCATTCTGAGGGGTTTTCCCTTGAGGTTTGGCATTCTTCTTAAAGTTCTTATTGTTGTCCTTCACAAAGTTAGCAGAGTCACCCTGTGAGCTTTTCAACCTCTCCTCTTCTTGCACACACATTGCAATGAGCTTCTTAATATCCCATTTATCGGGCTGCATGTTGTAATTTACAACAAAAGTTTTATATTTTTTAGGCAAGGAAGCAAAAACCAAATGAATCAGGAACTCATCCTTGAGCCCCAAATCCATTGGCTTCAGCTTGGAAGCCATGTTGCTCATCTTCAGTATGTGCTCTCTTATCCCTCCATCAGAGTATTTCTCATTGAATAATTTCTTTATTAGTGTACTAGCATAAGCCTTTGAAGAGCCAGTAAACTGAGTCTCTGCTTTCTTGAGATACTCTATGGCGGTGTCACAATCTAGGATAGACCCCCTTATTGCATCTGAAATAGTGGACTTAGCCACCATCAAGCACTTGCGGTTCGAAATGTCTCATTTCTTACGATCAAGATCGTATTTCATTCTCACTTCTGCATGATCTCGCTACCGAGCAATGAAATCAACATCAGTTCTATTTTCTTCCCTCACCGGGTCTACTGGCTTAGTAGGACACGGAGAGGTAAGCGCTAGGTCATTTTTGGACAGCGCAAGTGCTAATTCATACTTCTCTCGCCATACACAATAGTTGCCCCCTTCAAGAGGCAGAATGTGCGAGATGAATGCCATAGGGTTGAGTCCTAAAAACAACGCCAGAGATAGTGAG